GGGGGGGGGGGTGGCACCGGCCACCGAACACGGCGACTCCTCAACTCAGGCACGTCGCCCCCCGCGGGACATACACGCCAAAGTGGCCACCGAGTGGCCCGGGACCGGCTGCGGGGAGGGAGCCCGGGGGGACCCGCACCCCGTCCCGCGGCGGGGTACGGACCCGCAGGAGGGGCTGGATGGCGAGCGAGCCCCTTCCCGGTAGGATAAATCCCACCGGGAATGGCACCCAGGGGAAGGGGCTGCGGGAAAAGCCACCTTCCCCCCCCCCGGCTAAGCTATGCCATTAGTATCCTGGAGACACTGCTCTTAATTGCTAATTTTAGCCTGGACTGCAGCCTAATTACACCCCGGGTAAATCACCTCATGCTACGGTGTGTGATAATTAATAATTAATGAATAACCGTCTCTGGGCATTTACATCCCTCCCTCCCCCCAAACCGGGAAAAGAACTCGGCCTCTCTAAGTTTTATATCGACCAGACCTCACCAAAACTCTGCAGGTTTCATGGCTAAGCCCTAATTAACACACATTAATTGACAGTGAAGACCTTCAGGAGCATCCCCACCTCCATCAAGAAGCTGTGCCAGGCCCTGGATTCCCAGGACCCAAATTTCCATACCCCGAATTCCCAGCTACCACCTCCACCCACATGGTGTGGGGCTGGGCTGCCGCTCCCACCCCCACCACAGCACCCAAAATTGGGAGTTTCAAGGCAAAAACCCATCATTTCCTTTATGAAAACGAACCCATCGCCTCGGCTGAATGAGCAGCGTGTGCCAGAGCGGTGGGGTTGGACATCCCAGTCTCCCCAGCCCCCAGCTGAGGGATCCTACAGGGAAGGGGAAACGGAAAGAGAGCATCGTGCTGCTGCCAGTAATTAACTTGCCAATAATTTGCCAATAACGCAGGAGCCAACAGCCACCTCCTGAAATATCTGTCTGGGAAGGGCACGGCGCTGCATCAAAAAGAATTTGTTCGCTATCGAGTACGGAATATGGGGTTTGGGGGCTGATATGAAGGAAAAAAACCAAAATAAATAAGCAAAACCCAAGAATAAGGGTTCTTTTCTGTCGATAAAGCCAAATTGGGGCGGGGTGTAGTGCAAATCTGGAGAAAGTGAGACCTTTCTCCGTGCTGGAAGTGAAAGTGGCGGCCGGGGCGGGGGAAGCGGAGCGGTGATTAGTGGGCACTTAACGAACAAGGGGAAGAGAGAACAAAAACCATCCCAAAACACAACCCCCCTCAGCCACCTCCCGGCTGGGGGGGGCCGCGGCGCACAGCCACACAGCACAAAGGTTTCACCAGGCACCTCCTCTTCCTCCTCTTCCTCCTCCTCCTCAGCACGGTCCGTCCTGTGGCCACAGCCCTCAGGGTTGGGGGCTTTTTTAGGGGAGCAGGGGGCCGAGGCTGAGCTCCAGGTGGTGGGTGAGCCAGATGACCTCCGAGGTGTGCTCGCCCTCCTCGCTGGGCCGGATGGGAGCCGCCAGGTTTTTAAACTCGTGCTTCATCTTGAAGCTGACGGTCACTTCGCCTTCTTCTTTCTGCGGGGTCACCTTGATGAAAACTCCTACCTTGTTGGCTTTTCTGAAGGCAATGACGCCAGGACTGTACGTGTCCCCATTCCCAGTGCCCTTCATGTGTGGCTTGAGCTTCCGACACCTTCCTTCCAAAGGGGGCCCTGCAGACCATCCTTCTTAGGTTCTACCAGCCAAGCATCTGCTCAGCACCAGTTCCTACCTCCGGCTTTATGCCCACAGCCTCTGGCAGGCTGCAATGGGCCACGGCTTCCTCCTCCTCCTCCTCCTCCTCAGCACGGTCTGTCCTGCCACAGCCCTCGAACGGAAAGAGAGCATCGTGCTGCTGCCAGTAATTAACTTGCCAATAATTTGCCAATAACGCAGGAGCCAACAGCCACCTCCTGAAATATCTGTCTGGGAAGGGCACGGCGCTGCATCAAAAAGAATTTGTTCGCTATCGAGTACGGAATATGGGGTTTGGGGGCTGATATGAAGGAAAAAAACCAAAATAAATAAGCAAAACCCAAGAATAAGGGTTCTTTTCTGTCGATAAAGCCAAATTGGGGCGGGGTGTAGTGCAAATCTGGAGAAAGTGAGACCTTTCTCCGTGCTGGAAGTGAAAGTGGCGGCCGGGGCGGGGGAAGCGGAGCGGTGATTAGTGGGCACTTAACGAACAAGGGGAAGAGAGAACAAAAACCATCCCAAAACACAACCCCCCTCAGCCACCTCCCGGCTGGGGGGGGCCGCGGCGCACAGCCACACAGCACAAAGGTTTCACCAGGCACCTCCTCTTCCTCCTCTTCCTCCTCCTCCTCAGCACGGTCCGTCCTGTGGCCACAGCCCTCAGGGTTGGGGGCTTTTTTAGGGGAGCAGGGGGCCGAGGCTGAGCTCCAGGTGGTGGGTGAGCCAGATGACCTCCGAGGTGTGCTCGCCCTCCTCGCTGGGCCGGATGGGAGCCGCCAGGTTTTTAAACTCGTGCTTCATCTTGAAGCTGACGGTCACTTCGCCTTCTTCTTTCTGCGGGGTCACCTTGATGAAAACTCCTACCTTGTTGGCTTTTCTGAAGGCAATGACGCTGCGAGGCAGAAAAGAAACACAAAAAGAACATTGGGTCAGCCAAGGTCTCAAACAATCGTTGCCAGAGATTTATTCCGACACCACGTAACAGGGATACTTGATTTATGGCTGGATACACCCAGCTAGAAGAGCTGCTCTGGTTTCTTCTTCTCAGCTGCTCTCCAAGGGCTCTCCACAGTCCCTCCCGCCCTCCTAGGGGTTGGGGGCTTTTTTAGGGGAGCAGGGGGCCGAGGCTGAGCTCCAGGTGGTGGGTGAGCCAGATGACCTCCGAGGTGTGCTCGCCCTCCTCGCTGGGCCGGATGGGAGCCGCCAGGTTTTTAAACTCGTGCTTCATCTTGAAGCTGACGGTCACTTCGCCTTCTTCTTTCTGCGGGGTCACCTTGATGAAAACTCCTACCTTGTTGGCTTTTCTGAAGGCAATGACGCTGCGAGGCAGAAAAGAAACACAAAAAGAACATTGGGTCAGCCAAGGTCTCAAACAATCGTTGCCAGAGATTTATTCCGACACCACGTAACAGGGATACTTGATTTATGGCTGGATACACCCAGCTAGAAGAGCTGCTCTGGTTTCTTCTTCTCAGCTGCTCTCCAAGGGCTCTCCACAGTCCCTCCCGCCCTCCTATCAGAAGGTGGGTACCCCCTTTTCACTGGCACATCCCTCAAACAGAACATTCCTGCTTTGGCTGAGGGAGTTTTGTACCCAGAGGTGAAACAGGGAAGAGCCACACGTACACGGCTCGAGTTACCCAGAGGCTGCAGAACATCCTCCTTTCTGAAGGGTGGAGGCAACTCCAACAGACCCTACTGCATAGTTCTCACCACCACCATGAACCAACCCTCTTTGCTTGCAAAGGAAAGGATGACACAGAGTATTCCTGGAGAGAGTTAGTGCCACCACCTATACTCAACCACTGTGACAGCACGCCATGCCTCAAAGGGACCAAATATCTCCTGAACAGCCCACAAGTGGAAAGATGATCTTTGAGGTCCCTTCCAACCCAAACCATTCTGTGATTCTGTGATTTACATTGCTGATACGAGCACCCCCCCAAAAAAAACCCAACTTCTCCCCAAGAAAACCTTAAAAAAAAACAACCCAAACCATTCTGTGATTCTGTGATTTACATTGCTGATACGAGCACCCCCCCAAAAAAAACCCAACTTCTTCCCAAGAAAACCTTAAAAAAACCCACCCAAACCCAAACCAAACACGCTGAAGAGAGAGAGGAAAGGAAGTTACTTGGTTGAAATGCCAAGTATTTAAGGGACAGGATCCCCACAGAACAGACCACACTCACTCAGGGTCATCCTGGAAGTCTTGAGGCTCTGCCAGCTCATCATATTCCGCCGCAGCATCTTTGCCAGCCAGAATAAGCTCCTTGGGAGGAACTGCCACCTGGAGAGCACGGAGAGAAGCCACCTTTCAGCACTGATCACCACCTACACTGCGAGCAGCAGAGACACCTCCCCTTCTAAGAACTGCTTTACTACAGTTTAACAGAAAAGTGATTCATCCTGAGTTTTCCTCTGCTCCGGTACCACCTGGTTACCACCCCACCAGTGAAATCCTGTATTTCTCCCTTAGGTTCTGGATCTCAAAGAAAAGACACAATTTCAAAACACTTTATGAGCTGAGGTTTACTTTGATGACAACCATTTAAGCTCCAAGGAAGAAACTGCAAGATAGTCAGCCGGGACCAAAGGACATATGAAAAGTGTGACCTGTGGAAGGATAAATGGGAGTGGAAAGCTTTGGAAGAGGCCTGGTGGCAGCAGGAGGGCACAATACCTTGGCAGTGCTGTTGATGTTGTCAGGGTCTCCTTCCTCACACTCCAGCAGCGTCACATGCATGATGTTCTCCACTGGATTGGTCAGAGTCAGGAGGACTTGGCTCTCCTGGGGGGATTCAGGAATCACAGTTCAAGAAGCAATTACTCTAAAATTTCATCATTACTGTTAGCAACTCCTTCTTGCGTGACTGATCAACACCCTCCAAAATTGCATCACATACGCTCAAGGGTTGATTAGCAAACACCCCCAGTCTGTAAGGAAGGTGCCAGTGCCATGCAGCACTCTCTCTTAATAGAAGAAATACACGTCTCTGGAATCCAGCCAAGATCTCAGCCCCACACCTTTTATTCTTTAGATATTGGCGTGTGCTTGTGATGCCAAACATCACACTTCACGGTACTCTGCTCATGCGGAGCGACAAGCCCATGCAGTGTTATTCTGACCACTCCCTTAAAGCCTGCACCCTCTCTACATGGAGCTAGCGAAGCCCTCAGGCAACAATCATCACTCCGTGTCATCTTCCAAAAAGATCCCACATCCACACCTCCCGGCTGTGTCTCACCCTAAGACATTTCAGGAAAAAAAACCAACGTACTGACCTTCATGTAGCGCAGGTTGGGAATAGACATAATTCTCACTTCGGGGATATAGTTACTACAAGAAGAACAAAGCAAATGGCCATGATGGACTATGTTGCTGTCTGCCACCTCCTCTTGAAGCAGAGGGACATCTTCACAGACATCCAGCTAACTGGTTCAATGCTATGTTAGAGATTAGGTTACATTAAAAGGAAAAAATGAAGCGCCCTTTTGCTATATAAGTCTAATCCTACAAACCCCTGCCACTGTGCAGGGCTGGCACAGCATGCAATACCTTTTTCAAATTGCTGTAATCTTCAAACTTTAAACTTTTTAGAAGACCAGGAAGCAAACCTACTACAGATAAGCTGTATATATTAAAAAAGTGCTTGCGCCATCCTGAGATGACACAATCACACAAGAGGTCAAATCAAGAGCACAAAAGAAATGAAAAGAGAAGGCACTAACTAAGCACAAATAGGTGATTGTTCTCCCCAGCCCCCGTATCTTACTTACACAGCAACCAGCTGGATCTTGAATTTGATGGATGTTGGATTAAATTCTGGTTTGCTCAGGTTATGTTCACATTTCTAGAGACAGAGATATTTCAGTCAGTGCACAAAGACAGTGTGCAGTCACAAACCAAAAGAAGCAGGGCTGCGATCACTGTGCCACCAGCCACGGCACTACCGGCCTCTAGCACAGCACAGACAAAGACTACCCTGGGGGGTGGGTGTGTGTAGCCATCACTGTGTCAAGGTATTGATACTCTGAAAATGTCAGAGCAATCTCACATTGCTGATACTCAGCAATATCAGCACAATCTCAGAAACGTGAGATTTGGAACCCAGCTTAAAAATACTCAGACACTCCCCGACTGCAGCAGAAGGCGGCACAAGTACCTGCAAGCCCTTTGACTTACACTCCAGAATTCACTAAAAACACCAAATAGCTGGAACTCAAGACTGATCTCCTCACAGGGTGCTCTTCAAACATAGGCTCAGTCTGACATTACTTATTTCTGAGAAAATATTCTGTTTTCAAAGCATCCTACATCTTCAATGCTTAGAAGAATATTGCTTTATTACTTTGGGAACTAGATAAATAACCCTGTTGCACTGAGAAAGCAAGCAGCTTTTTGAAGACCATGTGGTAAGCCAACAGCAGAACTTGGATATTCTTGTCTATCTTCACTTCCCAGCGCTCTTCTTCTGTGAAATATCATCTTTCTGCCTTCACTCTAAGGGCATCTTCAGTATTCAGCACTGCCTCTCACTAATACTTTGTTTGCTGAGTTAGTTTTTGTCTTTAATAATAGCAGAATTTTTTAAATTCTGACTGTACTGTCAGCCTTCTATGATTCCTTGGCTACAGAGGGCACACAGACCTTTACACAAACCCACCTTTGTATCTTTATGCATCTTGGACAACACTGTCCCCCTTTCACAACCTTCATCACATCAGAAACGTGAGAGCTTCCCTTATCTCCTAGTGCTGTTACCAGTGATTAGTGATTCAGTTGAGAACTTTCAACAACCAGAAGCGTTTGAGCGGTTTCTTTTCATCACATCAGAAACGTGAGAGCTTCCCTCATCTCCTAGTGCAGTAATTCGGTTGAGAACTTTCAACATTTAAAAAGAAATCCACAGCCCATTTCCCACAATCCAAGCCCTGTGGGCCGAGTAAAAGCGCTTTGTTTGTATTTAATTACCCACCCGACAGCGCAGCGAGCGTTTGATCAGGAGATGCTTATGACGTGGGTAGAGCTGGGAAGCGCAGATGGGCTGGAAGTCAGGCTGCAGCAGACGCTGACGCAGAGTCGTCACTGGGTGCCCCACAGAAAGCAAGAGCAAATTAATTAATTCATGACGGCCCTGAAACTCGAGGGCCTCGTTGTACAACGTGCAAGTACGTCACGCACTGTGTGTGGACGTGCTGCAATCTCTACGAAACTTAATTTCACCCACACCCAATAATTCAGAAATCACTGGCAAGTATCACCGTTTTTAGCAGCAGATGAATGGAAAGTGAGAGTGGTGTGAAGGGCTGCCCTGCCTGGGCACGGTCACGCTAGAGCAACATCAGCGCCAGCCCAGGAGAAACAAGGGACCTTGATCTCTATTCAAAGCTCAGCTGGGGTGGAAACGCAATTTTGTAATCAGAAAATAAATTCTTTCCCCCCCCAAGGGCAAATGAGTCTTCGTAGCTTTGTTACCCTCACAGCTGGGTGCTGCACGAGTACAATACACAGCTTCTCAGCCAGGAGGCTGCATAACTTGGACTTAAGCATGGAATTAGTGACTACATAGTTCCCGAGGCAAAGAACTCCAGCAGCCAAACTTCCCATGGATTTCTCCCCAAAACCAGGTTCCTCACTGTCCCCAGTGTCTAACAGGCAGTAAGCCACCTGGAAGCCCTTCCCTCACTGTGGGGAACCACAAAAGTTGTCATCTTTACCAACATCATACTCTCACAATGCCGACAGTCTCATGAGAAAAGGAGACCAAGATGATCTCCCCCTTTCCATAAACCTTTCCTGAATTAATTAACATTGGCAGACTTTGTAGGACCGCAGGATTACCAAGAACATCTGTCCTATTAGGAGCCACCTCAGCAGGAAGTCCACATTGCTTCCTGTACCTGCTGTTTTATCCCACTCACTCCCAAGTTTCATTGACCAATTTACAATATTTGCTGATTAAATCATGAGCCAGCTAAATAACTGGGAGGTGTACACAAGCTGTTCCGAGCTGATGTCAAAGTAACATGCAATTGTTACTTAACAGTTCAGTTTTGCTTCCAACTCCCCAGTAGCTCAGCTACTTCCTTATTTCCTGCTATTATTCGAAAAAAAGGACGTCAGCTCTTTTCTCCATTCAAAAGTTGACACTTCACATGCAGAGAAATTAAAGCCAGCAAGAAAATGAAAACAATCGTTAAGAAGCCTGACGTACTTGGCTCTGAGCTTCCACGCACAACACCAAGCTGAGGCTGCATTCAAAGTTACCATTTTAAAAAGTCACAAATGTCCCACCATTTCAATCCAAGCATAAAAATTACTAAAAGTTTAGGAACCCCACTGACAAGTTTCCAGGCACTGGCCCTGTTATAGAATCATAGAATCGTCTAGGTTGGAAGAGATCCTTGGGATCATCGAGTCCAACCATCTACCCTACTCTACAAAGTCATCCCCTACACCATGTCCCTTAGCACTTCGTATAAAACATAAGGGCAAAAGGTGACAGAATATTAAAGTGTTACCTTCTGTCAGATTGATTGGTCTTGTGTAGTAATCCTCAGGAAGGGGTTCCACTTCTTCCACTGCATCAGCCGGCTCAATCTTGATCTCCTTCTGGTCCTCTCCTTCTTTCAGCCTGAAGCAAAGTAAAGGACAACTCAGTCAAAAAATACAGCACCTGTGTTCTGACAGACAGCAACAGCAGTAACTGTATTATAACACAGAAGGCAGCGAGAGCTGAGATTGCAAGGCAATAGCAACTGCACAAGGAGGTGAGCAGTCACTTATTTCTACCAGGAGAAAGCAAAACATCTGGAGCAGTTGCCCAGAGGTGCCTGAGGATTTGACATCTCCCTAATGCTCCAAAGAAGAAAGCTCCTCTCACTGCTCCCTGCTAATATGGTTTGACATCTTTCTGAAGTTGCTTTATTGCTCTCTTGCCTACACCCTCCTATCCTTCCTGCAAGGACAACCCCAACCCTGAGACTCACGAGAGTCCAGCGAGGGCACTGATGGGCGCTCCGGGTCTCTGCCGCTGAAGCCTGGTTCCCAAGCCGTATTTGTCCTACAAGGGAAAAGGGAAATGTCAGCTTCATGTCTGCTTCCTGCTGGGACAAAAAGTCCTACTGCAAACTCATCCTTCCAGCTGCGTGACAAGCGTAGGGAGACAAGCAAAGGAAAGCAAAACGGGAAAGGGATTCAATGCTTCCCAAGATTTTTCCTTCTGCTCAAACTGTTAGTAAAGAGAAAACCAATTACCACTGCACCGGGAGAGACGGATGTACGTGGCTTCTGCTTATAAAGCTTTTGCTCTTTCCTTAAATCACCAGCCTGTACTACTGACACATTTTTCCCTCGAGCAACTGCACGTCAAGTGGTGCAGGATGAGAACTCAAATGCCAAAAGAACTGGGTCGCTGTGGGTATGCATCCACCTGAAATGCTCTGCAGCACTACTAGAAGCAGTTGGAAGGTCCAACCTACAACAAGGCCCATCACCTACAGGTCTCTCTTGCCAGGCACCACCGATTGGCAGGAACAGCTGAGCTGATCCTCAGTTTTCTAGAGCTGAACTGTACACGGGGTGCTTGGAGGCAGAAATCTTCCTTCTGGGCAGGATGGAAAACCTGAATTCTGACCAAATGAGACATCTGAGCATCAGCCTACCCTGGTGATCTTTCATGGAGCAGACAACTACCGTTAGTGCCGTTTGCCTGGGGCGGGCAAACAGCTGCATCTCAACCAACCTTTGTGAAGGGCTGCTTTCCAAATGTGCGTTACTTACTCAAAGACACTGCCCTGTTTGTAAGCTAACAAAAAATATTATTTGTAACGGATGTTACCCTCTACTTCGTTAACCTTCACCTGGGTTTGTTCTAGGCACATCTAAGCCAGAGGCCCTGAGGCAAGGCAAAGAGTAGGTTCTGTTACTGCCCTTCAGTTGGCACCATGAGAGCTTTAACACCGGCAGAAACTGTGAAAAGACTTACCACTACGTGTATAGTGTGTTGCTGTGGAGAGCCCCCAAAATAGCAGCAGGTAGCAACGGAGACAAAAAATGCAGCCATAAGACACAAGCAAGGGCACAGAGCAAGCACAGTTAATTGAGAAGTAGCAAGCATATGCAGAGTCACCCAGCTAAACAAAGTAAGCGTTTACCTGCCAGTTACAATAAACAAGTCATTCAGGCCGCAACCAAGCCTTAAGGTTAATTTCAGTTGAGATTTCATGCAGAAAAGTGCCAGACAATCCTGACCTAACTGTTACTGAGCTGTGCTAAGCAGCTGTCCTGAGAAAGAGCTACCTCTGGTATTGCAACTGCTGTTGCACTGCATTTCTCTGCGGGACAACATATTCTTTGCATGGCAAACAGAAACCCTTCTGGCATTATCAGAAAGGACAATTAGAAGGAGGGGCAATGTAAGACACAATAATGGGTGTAAAACTACTTGTCCCTAAAGAAACTCATGTGCCCTAGTACATTTTCTTCACATTGTTCTCAATTAAAAAAAAAATAAAAAAGCTGAGTAGCCCTATTGTGCTACCAACTATCTAATTTTCCAAGCTGAGGTAGTTGTGCATCACTTTTCCTGCTCTGAGGACACTGTGCTCCCAGCTCACCGAAAAGGCCAGGGGCATGTAGTTTCGGCGCCGCACCAGCTTCTTCCGGTCCCGCTCGATCTTCTCTTTCTGGGCCAACTGCTGGTAATACTCTACCAGTTTGTTAATCTGGAGGGATGAAAAGGAACAGACACCCAGTGAGCAGGGAACAAAGACCGGACCGGCTGCAGTATTTGTTTGTGAACAAGCTGGGGTGCCTACTGCTTGTTTCGCCCTGTTCCTAGAACTAGCTGTATTTGGAAGGATATACATTAAAGAAGCCTGTGCGTCTTAATCCACGCTGCGGGTGACAAACTGACCCTTCTCTGGGAGTGACACCTATCAGAGAGCAGTGCCCCATTCCCACTTTGCAGTCAGGCAACTGAGACTTTGTTCACGTGTTTTATTCTGGACAAAATAACCCCTCATGTGGCCAAAACTGAGCAATTTGGATTAGTGCAGCAAAGAGCATCTTTTCCCCCAGCTGAGACTGATCACATTTAGTGTAGAGCCCTCAGTGGTATCAGGGAAGGATAGTAAAGGGGCAGCTCTGTTTTCCAGATCCTAGACACACTCTTGATCGGAAAACAGCTTTTTTCACCATACATACGCAGCACATTCAGTGGTGTCTTTTTAACAGCACTATTGCATGTGATGTTTTCAACTGAGTTTCTTCTGAAAACGAGATTTTATACTGTGATATCCTCAGGAGAGCCTTTAAGAGGCCTTCCTTCCATTGAGTTCAGTCAAGGTGGAAATTAGGAACTGAAACTGGTATCTGAGGGATACAGAAAAAGTGATTGAGAAGGCCTGGAGTCTCTAACAGCCCTTTCTGGCTGATGTGTCTCAGCCTAAACGTGGCCTTTGCCCGCACTCACCCTCTGTGTGTGAGGATTCTCTGGCTCCTGCCAGCCACCACTAGCTGTACAAGAAAGAGAAAAAACAAAGTCCTCAGGAGATGATTTCCAGACCCCACACACAAATCACATCTAACACTCAGCTATCCCGGTTTTACTTGTGAAATATGACATTTCCCTGCTTTCACTACATTTACCATTGCGGTTCTTCAAGTTCCTGCTTGTCTGCACAAATACACACCTCTGAAAGCTTTTCACAGGCAGGTTTGGGCTGAAGGAGCTTCACCAGCTTTTGTATTGTGTTTTTATACAAATGCTATTTGAGAGGTTCTCAGAACAGCACCTAGAAGTCACTTTAGCAGCAGGTACATGAGTTTACAAGAACACTCTCTTCTTACTGTCTACCATGACCCCACATCTTCAACTCCCAATTACATCAACACTGGAAGTCAGAGGATCTGCTTGGGCTACTCAGCCCCATTTCTGGAGCCCGACAGTATTTTCTGCATGTCTTATGCACCAAGAAATAGATGAAAGCTTTGTTCCAGTGCTGCCGTGAAGAGAAGAACCAAGTACAAACACTAACAACTCTGGAATTAGCCTCAGTGAACAAAAGTGATGGGAAACAAATGAGATGTTTATGCTGTCAGACTGAGTGGCTTCAAAGACTCTGAAGGCACACAAACAAGATTTCAACCGTGGGGAGAGCATACCAACTAAAAAAGCCTCTCATCTGACTGTTTTCTCACTAGTCAGGTAACACAAGCATGGAAGTGGGTCACACGTTCCACTAACTCATCTCAGCTCTTCAGAGACTTCAGCAACAAACTCTTTTCCTGTGAATTTCCAACTGTGACTCAAAACCTAGACAGTTATGACATATATCCTACGGCCAGAAACTAATTTGATCTGTTACCTTCAAAACACAAACTGGGCTCCTGCTGTTACTCAGTTTTCTGCCTTTGACTGTCACTTACCCACAGACTTGTCTGCCATGCCCACATCCCGGGAAGTCCAGCGGCAAAATCCACAGGCCAAGTAATATGCTTTCTTCATGGTAGTCTTGGCTGGGTCGTCAGGGAGCGGAGCAGGAATGCTCGTGGCCCGGGTGGAAAGGGTGTGCATGCAGCAGGGGCAGTCAAAGCAGTTAGCACACCTGTAAAGAGGAGGGTCTGTAAGGCAGTGCTCTAACAAGGAGCCCAGGCAAAGGAAAATGCTCTCAGCAAGCAAATCAGGATTAAACTAGCAGAGCTTTTCATCCTGTGCAACAGCATTAGGGAAAAAGAACAACAGAGACATCAACAGAAATGGGAGGGGTTCAGAGTCAACATAGAGAAATACTGGATGATAGTTATATTATGAGAGCAGGTCATCAAAAAAGCTAGAACATGAACAGCACGTGATACACCATGCAAAGACACTTATTCCCCCAAACTAACTAAAAGGTAACGAGAAGCAATGTAATTTTTGAAGAGAGTTTCAGATACACACAGTCAGGTGTTGATTAGGGAGGGAGCTGTTTTAAAACACGGAGTCTTGATGAAAAGAGCCAGAGCAACCTTACCTATTCTTTTTCAGCTTGGCTTCAGCTGAAGGCATGTTTTCCAGGCAGCTGGGGCAGTAGTGAGAGTCCACCTGAGGAACAGCATGGTCAATTCACAGTTGCCAGCAGACACTTGTCTAGACAGCATGCTGGCAGCAGCCTGAGACTCTGCCGCATCATTGAACAAGGCTTTGTGTCTGACAACAGACAGGTGAAGTCAGGGAAGACTTGAGCCATTTTTTGGTATCTGAAGTTTCAGCCCATCTCAGCCAGATTTTGAACTTTAATAATGTTAAGTCAGGATAAATTAAACTACTCCACCTAGTAAAGGGGAAAAGGATAACTGGGTGTTGACCACCTGCAGTTATCAGAATTTCATTTTTCAGCTTGAGCAGCAGGTTTTAACACAATATTTTCCATTTATGTCTAAATTTATTCTTCACTTGTATTTACACTGGTCAGAAATCCATATATTTCTGAAAACATTTTGTACCTCTCTGCTGTCACAAACTACTTTTGTTAATTCAAACAGCAGCAGTAAGAATCACAGAATGATATGGGGTTGGAAGGGACCTCTGGAGATCATCTAGTCCAACCCTCCTGCCAAAGCAGGTCCTCCTAGAGCAGGTTACACAGGAACTTATCCAGGCGGATTCTGAACGTCTCCAGAGATGGAGACTCCAGAGAAGGAGACTCCTTTCTGAAGATAAAAACAAATTTAAACATGGAAATGCGCAATGACTGCATTCATCATGTTATTAAGAATTCATGACGGATGCAGCCCGGTGACAAATCTATTTCCTGGCTTGTGTGGTCATTCATTTTAGGCTTTTTTTTAAATCAATTTTATCGATTTTATGATGACATCCTGAGAAGTCACACAAGCAGTGCCGGAATCAAGGCTTGCCTGTGTTCTGCTCTGCACAAAAGCAGTGCTCTGGCAGCCCCCCACGCAGCAGCAGACCATCGCCCCAGGATTATCTACAGCTCAAGGCCCCAGCCATTCCCAGACAAAGAACAAAGCCTCCGCGGCTGAAATCCCACTGTCTAACGTGGGGAAAAAGCTTGTTCAGGTGGAAATAGACTCAGACCAAACACTCTCAACCCAAATTAATTCTCAAAATAAACACGATGCTCACCAAAGGTGTGCGTTTTGTCCCTTTGACAGCAAACGCTGCCACACACACAGAGCAAACCCCGGCAAAACCTGGGGGCCCTCCAAGAGCAGCTCTTCCCCCATGACACAGCACCAGCCCAAGCCCAAGAAGGGTGCGGGTGCCCCCGGGCCTGCTCGGTCTTCACCCCAGGCCGGGCCCTATGGGGCGGTGTGGGGTCTGTGGGTGTCCCTGCTCCCCCCCCGGCCTGGCCCGAGGGGCATGTCTGTGTGGGAGGGGTTGGGTGAGGGCCTCGCTGCCCGGGCCTGGCCCACGGAGGGCTGTGAGGGGGGGTCCTCGCTGTCCCGGCCGGGCCCCACGGAGAGGGAGCGAGGGTTGGGGGTCCTCCATTGCCCCGGCCCCACGGGAGGGCCCCCCCCCGGACAGGCCTTTGTAGGGGGGAAACATCTTCTATGAGGGGAAGACGCCTCTCAGAGCAGCCCCCACCCCTCGTACGCGCGCCTCAGCCAATCACACCCCGAATTCCTCCGACGGACAGGCAAGCACAGCCAATCCAACGCAATGCACCGCCCCTTCCCTCATCCACCGCCAATCACCCCGCTCTATGACAGCGCTAGGCCCACCCCTTAGCCGCACCACCAACCAATAGGAAGGCAGGCAGCGAGTGAGCGGCAGGTGAATCCTCCCAATCGCTGCGCGCACAGAGGGCAGCGTCCCGCCCCGTCCCGTCCC